TGGATAAAACACCTGAGGAAGTCAAGATTTGGTCAAAGCTTGATTTCATTATCTTCTACATGTTCCCAAGTGTTTGAGGTTCAATTTTCATGAAGAAATTCTTTTCAGAGGTAGATTAATTGGTCAATTGATTGAGAATCAAGAGGATTGGGGGTAAAACTGGAAAGTCGGTGAAAAAGTCAACCCCTGACTTTTTAAGGGCAAAATCATAAAATTCAAGTGGGACTTGCCCTAGGGTAAGAAATTGGTCAAGGAATCCCAAAAGAATCAAAGAAAATGAGAGGAATCGAAAACTTTCCCTTTTTGGATAATTAGGGTTACTAAATATAGTAAGTTTTTGTCAATTTTGACCTCACTTTGAAGGGCCACAACTCTCTAGCCACGTGGAGTTTGAGAGTGATTCTTTTTGCAGTGGATAGAAGACCTCAAGACCTTTTCAAGGATATCTCATTTGCATCTAAACTCAAAAGAATGAGCATTTTAGGATCAATCAAAGTTGGTTAAATTGTGCTAAAAAGACTTAGAAAATTTCTAAGTGTTTTTCAGTTGAGATGCATCATGTTCATGATCATTTTTCTCCCATTTAGAGGTCTCTAATGGGAAAATTTCCAACTAAAAAGTTGTAGAGGGTGGAAAATCCTTCCAAAGTCATGTTGATGACTTCCTCCAATTCTCAAAGATGAGAGAGATTCGTGGCCAAGAAGTTGAGTTTTCAAGCTGAAATTATAGGTCATTCTCAACATGTAAATGTTGCAGAATTTTTTATCAAAGTTCAGCTCATTTTTTCATGGATTTAGAGGTCTCTATCTTGATGTTGGTCAATATCAAACTTGTTCACAATCACCTCAGCTTTCCAAAGAGCTCAACCTTAGGTCTTGTAGTTGCTTGTAGAGCAAGTTATTGCTTGTTAAAGTGAGGGGTTCAGTTGAATTCGACCAGTTTGGTACAGCAGCTCACATGTGCATTTGTGCAATCAATTGGTGTTCTCTTTTGGTTAAAAGAACAAACACATCAAGGCAACATGGCAGCTCATGTTTACAAGCCATTTTCAAGCCTTGAAACACCAAATTCGAGCCATTCTCATAAGAAACCTCAAACTGCATTTTCAAATCAAGCCATCTTCTCATGTAAGCAAGCTTGATGGCTCTTCCTTCAGCTCCAAGTCAAGCTGAACATTAGCTTCATTTAGCCAGCCACCACATGAACATTTCCCACGTGTTCGTAACCTCTTTTCCCTCCAAGTTTCATTTTGAAAATTCTAGAAACTTCACCAACTCGGTTCAGTTGACTCACTCAACAAGCTCAACTCATTTAACCATCAAAATAACTGTTAACCATCCTCAATTAACCCCAGTTAAGGTGTCTATAAGTATCTCCCTCTAGCTCGAGTTTAACACTTTTGATTCATTTGCTTCATTTCTGAAAACCTCCACCACACAAAGCTCTCAATTTCCCTCTTCTTTTCCACTCAAAACACACTTCATAGAGCTCTCATTTCTCTCTTGAACAAGTGTAGAATAGTGAAGAACACAGAGCTTCGAGTTTGCTCATCAATGGAGGTGTAGGAATCAGATTTCACAATTCTCCTCAATTCAATCACTTCTAAGCATCTACACTCCTTTATTTGGGCAAATAGAAGTTGTTAGAAGCTTGAGCAAGGATTCTCCCCTCTGGTATTCTCTCATTCAACTTCCTCTGCAAATTCAGGTTTGAGCTCTTTAGAACTCTCTCATTTATGGCTCTAATTGCATGCTTTGATGTTCATTGAGGTCGTGTGATGTAGTAGAGCACATGTACACGTCCAGTTTTATTTAAAACTACTTGTATGTGAGAATTGTGTTTTGAGATGTAAAATGTTTTGGCTCGGTTTGAGTTATGGAGGAACTTTTTGGAGATTTAAGTTCCAGATTCATGTTCAGGAGAAAATTTCGATCCAGATGGAATCATCGCGCCATATTTCTTTTCTGATCCTCCGTCGTGGCTGCCGGAGCAGCCGGCGGAGCCCTAGCCGGAGTCCCAAGGTTGAAGAAGATAAGACTTGTTGACCAACAAGTCCTGGTCGTTGGATCATTGATGTTGAATGGTTGAGATTGAATCTCAATTATAAATGAAACGCACCGTTTCATTTTTTTTTTTTTTTTCTTTCAAAATTTCTTTTCGTTGATTATTTAACATATGTCTCAAAAACACAATTAACATTACCCATATATAGATCCTCCCCGCGTACAAATTATTCTTTTACCATTTTTAATACTATTTACATACATCCAAATAATTTTGTAAAATTTTGTAGACTCGATACTAGTGAAAAAAATCATTTAAATTTCAATTAATAAAATGTATTGGAATTAATTAGCTCACTTTATTACAAAATTGAATTGATAGTATAAAAGTTATCGAAATCACGTACTCACAATATTTATAACCATTAAGATTACTAAAATTAAATAATTTGAGATTTTACCATTTTTAATATTATTTACATACATCCAAATAATTTTGTAAAATTTTGTAGATTCGGTACTAGTGAAAAAAATCATTTAAATTTCAATTAATAAAATGTATTGGAATTAATTAGCCCACTTTATTACAAAATTGAATTAATAGTAGAAAAGTTATCGAAATCACGTACTCACAATATTTATAACCATTAAGATTACTAAAATTAAATAATTTAAGATAAACTACTCTGTATCACACTATTTCATAATTGATACGTTTTTTTTGTCTTTTTCTATTAAACCCTTCACTATTCCTAATCACTCCATCTGTTTGGGAAGTTCTAGAAATTCGAGTCTTTTTCCGCTTACTTTCAACGCAAACAAACGACCGTCGATTCATCCATCTCACAAACAATCTAAACCGTTCATTCGAATCCAAAAGCACGGGAAAATCCAAAACGTTGTATTAAAAAAGAAAAAGCACAGAAACGAAACTAACACGCACGCATTGAGAGAGAGAGAGAAAGAAATCATCAAGAAAAAAAACACAGAGAGAGCATTCCGAAGAAATGACACCAAAATGAATCGAACAACATCATTTCGTATCCTATGTGGGCCGAAAGGCAGAAACTGTTGGAGGAGATATCCAATGATCCATATATTCAAAGATTGATAACTGAAGTACGAGAAAGAAAAGAGAAAAGAGAAAGAAAAGAAGGATAGAGAAGAGAAAAGAGAAAAATTAAATCAAATATCTATAACGATATTTTTTATTTCTAACGGTGAGAGACACGTCCTATAGGATAAATAAACAATTTCTTTGTTTTTTCCCATATTACTCAACGATTTCTTGATTTTTTCTCATATTTTAATTACTCTTGTTAACTACATCATCGTATGAGTGTACTTTTTCGCTTTTTTGCAATTTTTATGTATAAAATATAAGCATGCAAATTTTGACGGGTTTATTCATTTCTTCATCTACACATGATATTCTCGTGTCGAAGAAAATCATATTTTCTTGATCTACCCCCGTTGTGGTAGGAAGAGGTGAGGTAATCTAAAGGACAGTAAAACCATACGGTTTTAATTTCCTTATGTGCCAAGTCTAAAAGATGGTAATTTCGCGTGGTTCTTCATTCTTATATTTCTCATATCAGGCTCGAGTCGCAAGTTCATCAAAAGTGTAGAGAAAAGAATTCATCAGCATTAACACCAACATTGAAAGCACGTGAAATAAAAAAAAAATATAAAGTGTTTTGCTAGTTTGTGCATTTATAACAAAAGTTAAACATATCCAAACATTCAGTATGTTTCCACAGTAGCAACAAACCTGTTAAGTCATGTAACAATTTTGTAGCAGTAGGCATGTCATAAACTGACTTCATTATCCCATCACCAAGTAAAGCTGTCGCCTCTTTAACATTTGGAGTAACAATATCAGCCATGGAAAGCAGCTCCTCACTGCATTCGGAAACAAAGAAATAAACACAATCAATACTCTACAGTTTTATTAACAAACTAGAACTTCTACACCTAGCCCTATCACTTCTCATCCTAATCAACCTTTCATTAACCCTCTAAATGTGCATCCTATGCAAACCAGGACCAATAATGGAGTGCGAAAAAAATAAAACCATGTAAATAAAAAGAAAACTAAACATACCTTTCTCTTCGTTTTTGCCCGTATAGCTTTCACGTGATCAGTTGAGTGCGTAAATTTATCGGGTTTCTTCCTCTCTCTTCTGTCACTTGTAAGAGGTGCTGGAGGAGTCGCTATGCCGCGCCCACGCCGACGCACCCTTCTGAAACCATCCCTCCCCGCATTTTCATCCTCAATGTCGTTAACAATTTCCACATTGTCATTCAACTCAACCTCATTCTGCTTGAGTTGAATATTTGTTTCCTCAACCACCGAAATCCTATATGCTACAAAATCAATCACCAATGTCACACATGATCACATTGTTAAAATTTGGCAAAAAACAAAAACAACATTTTCTTAATTAAAAACGTAATTATATATTCATAATATAACATGCACCGCTGATTACTTATCATTATTCATAACTAAAACATAACATTATTAAATATTTTACCTCCACTAGTGCTATACTCAATATTGGGTGATTCGTGATCACCTGCCGTCTCGGAAGTGGATGCTTCAATAGTTTGGAAGTTTTGTGCAAACAGCCTATCAATATCTTCCCATTGTCTCAGCTCTCTTTTAAAATGTTCTTTAAATTTGATGGGATGATTGCCTTTATTTCCCTTTGAAATAATCACTCCCATATCAGATCCAACACCGGTCAAGTCAATATCATCAAGTTCCGCGAACTGTTTTGCTATAACATTTGGATAATGAGGCTCCACATAATTGTAGCAAAACAATGGGGTGACGATAGTTCGGTATTGAATCTGATCATGCAGGTCGGGAGGCAGCATTTGGTCAGTATAGGGATGCCAAGTAATGGGGAATTCATCTATATTCTGTGTAATAGACAGCATTTGGTCAGTATATGGATGCCAAGTAATAGGAAATTCTTCTAAAAATTAAAATCAAAACCTACATAAGCTATAGAAATCATTTCTTACCTCATGATCCATATCCAGGAAGTTACGTATCAACTGAAACTTTTGTCCTAAATTATGATGGACTTTTTCGTGACGGTTTTTGCCGAGTGTGAAAAGATCCTTTATCAAATATGCCAATAGTGGCCTATTAGGCATACGATCTTCCTCCGCAGTAACAGCAATAATATTGAGGATATTATGAAGTCCTTTAAAATGATAAAAGAAAAATCCCTATGAAAAAACAGTTGGTTAAAAAGTTATCAAACAAAGATAAGAAAGAAAAAAAAAATATAAGAAAAAATATGCACTTACCATTATCAGCCATACAAAGTCGTCAACTTTGTTATTACGTAAATGCCAATAGTGCCGCTCCCCAAGCATAAGAATCCACTTCGTCCAATTTTTCACTTAATAAAATATATAAAATTTATAGATTTATAATATTTAAATGGGGAGAGTGAGCGTACCATCTTTCTCAAAATCTTAATCATCCATCTTTCTCAAAATCTTAATCATTATCTCAATTAAACAATTATAATAAATAAGTAATAAAAACAAACAAAGTGAGAAAAAAAAATGTAAGATACACTACCAAAAAAAAGGGACTTGGGTCCTCTCCTTCCATTTTCCTCTCCAATTATCTCCTTCCTCTCTATCTCTCTCTTAATCTCACTCTCTCCTCATTATAAAATCATTTTTATTTTAGAGAGAGAGTGAAATTAAGAGAGAGATAGAGAGGAAGGAGAGAATTGGTGAGGAAAATGGAAGGAGATGATCCAAAGTGAAAAAAATGAGACGTATTTTCTAATCATAAGTTTTTTTTCTTTTTTTTTTATTTATTAAAATATAACCTAATTAATTACTAATCTAACTAATAGTTTGTTTTTGAAAGAAATCTAGAAGAAAAATAAAGAGAACAAATAATTTTAAAAAAAAATAGACAAAACTCTTTTATGAGATACATGTGAGATGGAGATATTGATGGCATACATACATGTTGGCTTCAACAAAATCAAGTAACTATTAAAAAGTAGAGTACAAAACTTTATTTTACTTACTATAAAGAAAATTGTGTTTATGACTTTTATGTTCCAATTTCTATGGTTTGATTAATTACAGTAAGCAACAGAAATATTAGTAAGCAACAGAAATATTATAGTAAAACTAAAAACGTAGTGATTGATTTATTTATGCGCCAATCCTTTAATGCAAGGCCACTAGTAAGCATTCTCATTCTGCAGATTCTACTGTAAATCTAATTCTACTTCAAACATAACCAAATCATGCATTAATCTAATTTCACTTAAAATTCATACCAATATTTCTGTTTGTTGTGGGTATTACAAAGGTTACTATTCAACATCAAGCACCACCATCCAAAATAAACATAACATACAAAAAAATATGTTCAATTTGATGTCAAAGTTCTAAGTCCATGCATCAAAATTGAACACCAACAAAATATTAAGCAAATACATGCAAAAAAAAATCTAAAAATACTTAGAAAAGTCAACACTCAATTTTTTTTCCAACTGATTGCGGGTGTAGTGTACCAACCAACAGGAGGATATTGCCCACCAACACGAGTTAGGCGCCATGGAACCGGCATGGATGGTGTTGGCAGCGTGGGTGGACCAACAGGAGGATATTGCCCACCAACACGAGGTAGGCGCCATGGAACCGGCATGGATGGTGTTGGCAGCGTGGGTGGAGATGACAGCTGCAGCAGCTCTTCCACCGAGTCATTATCGGGTGATGGATGCTGCAACGGCTCTTCCACTGAGTCTTTAGGTGATGTCAGCTGCGGTGGAGATGGTGGCATCTGTATCTCCACCGAGAGTGGAGGATGCTGCTTGAATAATTAACTAAAGTGGTGTTTGGTTTGGTGAAGTCAGACGGATCTTCCCGCCATCTTTCGGAATGAGGCAATAAATTACCAATGCACCTATGGCCACTCCGACCATAAATGCAACAATCTAAGAAAATAATGAAACAGTATGTAAAATATACTTCATCATATCTTAATATCCATTGAGACTATATGTAACATGGTTGTCAAAACAATGTAATCAAAAACACACTTCACTGAAACAGCTTCTGCATAATTTTTTTTTTGAAGAAGTTAATTTATTTATAAACAGCACAAGATACAAACTCCAAAACACAAACCAGAAACCAAATAAAATTGAGAATCAAACAGTGCCAACAAAAACAAAACTCAGCCCCCTAAAAGCCACACTCCTACTGTATTACAACTCAACTAATGAACAATATCACAATACCAGATAAAATCCTACAAAAATAATCTGTACTACTGACCACCAATTACAGGTTAAATAAAGTAACACACATAACTAAGTTAAATAAAATAACATACAATATATAGAATAAAATCCATGAAGAACTTGAGGGAGAAGCTGAGAAGCTGTGATTAGAGTATTGCGCTAAAACTAAAAGGGGTAAATAAAAAGGGATGAGAGAAGAAAAAATATTTAACAAATAAAAAATGTTGGAATATGTGTAGAAATGTGGGGAAAGGGGGCAGTAGGTAAACTTTCCACTGCTGTAGACTGTCAACAGTGCCAAATCATGTCAAATGTCAATAAAAAAATAATTTTTTAAAATGGGTTAGAAAAAGGTAAATAAGATTAGTATGTTTACAGTGGTACATATGTTTCAACACATACACGTATCCAAAGGTTTCAACATATACATAGGGTTAGAAAAATTATTCAATAAATAATTTTAACACATACATAGGGTTAGAAGAAACTTATCTTTTTAGCAAAAATAAAAAAAAATTTTAACACATACATAGGGTTAGAAGAAACTTATCTTTTAAGCAAAAAAAAATCAAGTGCAGTATCCAACAATGGACGGCAGACTTGGAACATGGTCAGTGATCCAACTTTGCTTTTTTTTCAAGCATTTGGCCCAACTTTGAATTTTTAAATGAAGTTCTCTCTGGTTAGCTTTCATCTTTAAACTATCACAATTAAAAAGAAAATCCATAACTGAATCATACACCACCCACATATAAAGTAAAATTTGAAAATATTGTTGGAAGTAAATAGACCAAATCATTATACAACTATAGTTAAAGTGGATGAAGTGTAGGATGTTATAAAATTAGAGAGGCGGAAGCTCAGCAGTGTTAGTAGGAGCCGAAAGTGATTCTAAAAGTATAAAATTGATTTTAACATGAATGGTTTCTCTAAAGTAACTGATTCTACTTTAAGCTAAGTATAATAGCTTTAGATTCTAGAACAATATCACTAAATAAATTTTTATCTTTTCAAATTATTATGTTGTTAAATACTTTCTTGCAATTGGATAGAAAGTTTTATCTTTTCAAATTATAATGTCGAAGTAATTCGTTACAGGTGGAAAGAATTCTGCTGATAGAGCTCTTAGTATTGATCTTATGGATTGGATTTTATAAAATCCTCCGCCTGCACATATCTTTCTGATATCTGGGAATAAAGATTTTGCTGCCATGTTGCAGCAGTTAAGAATAAAAAACTATAACATCTTGCTTGCATGTCTTAGAGTGTCTAAGACATGCAAGCAAGATGTTATAGTTTTTCATTCTTAAATACTGCAACATGGCAGCAAAATCTTTATCACCAGATAATAGAAAGATATGTGCAGGCGGAGGATTTTGTAAAATCCAATCCATAAGATCAATACTAAGAGCTCTATCAGCAGAATTCTTTCCACCTGTAACGAATTACTTCGACATTATAATTTGAAAAGATAAAACTTTCTATCCAATTGCAAAAAAGTACTTAACAACATAATAATTTGAAAAGACAAATTTAGATAAAAATTCATCTTTTTCGTAGTGCACCAACTATATTGTGGCTGTGGACATCTTTGCTCAAGGGAGAAGATCTACTTGAAAAACATTTCAACCATAATGTGGCTGGACATCTTTGCTCAAGGAGAAGATCTACTTGGAAAACATTTCAACCATCCTCACGATCCGGATGGTTATGGAAATCTTAAAGTCCCTTGACGATCCGGATGGTTATGGAAATCTTAAAGTCCCTCCTGAGAACAACTTTTCAACATGGCAGCAAAATCTTTATCACCAGATATCAGAAAGATGTGCAGGCGGAGGATTTTGTAAAACCCAATCCATAAGATCAATACTAAGACCAACTCCAATGGGAGTTCTTAAGGTGGGTTTGCCAACATGGCACCCATATTTGTTGTTTTCAAGATTGCCATGTTGTTGAACGGTTCTTAATTAAGCAACGGTTCTTCAACGGTTCTTATATTAAAATATTAATTTTATAATCTAAAAGCTATAATTTAATATAAAATTTTATTTATTATTTTAATTATCATATGAAAATTATAATTACAATATTAAAATATTAATTTTATAATATAAAAACTATATTTTAATTATAAGTTGTGGGACCCAACATGAGTTCTTCATAGTTGCACCATTGAAGTGAAAATTTAGTTGAGTTGCTTTAAGCTGACGTGGCTTAATTGGTCCCACAAAGAACCAAAAAATGAGTTCATGGTTGGAGATGCTCTAAGAGCTCTATCAACAGAATTCTTTCCACCTGTAATAATTACTTCGACATTATAATTTGAAAAGATAAAACTTTCTATCCAATTGCAAGAAAGTACTTAAGAACATATAATTTGAAAAGACAAAAATTTAGATGAATGAAACACTCCAAAAAATTATATAGTGAAATGAACATACTATTAGTCTCAAATATAAAATGGCATGGAACTGTAGCATAGAAAAAGAGGATAAATACACATCACTCCGTCCAAGATTCTACTAAAATAAACTTCTTGCAATAATTAATAAACCCTCTCAATTAAGACCCATGAGCCACGGACAACACCGGACACATCAGGACACATCAACACCGATAATAATTTGGAAAAAAAATAAATAAGAGGAAGGAGAGAATTGGAGAGGAAAATGGAAGGAGAGGATCCAAGTCCCATTTTTTTGGTAGTGTATCTTACATTTTTTTCTCACTTTGTTTCTTTTTATTACTTATTTATTATAATTGTTTAATTGAGATAATGATTAAGATTTTGAGAAAGATGGATGATTAAGATTTTGAAAAAGATGGTACGCTCACTCTCCCCATTTAAATATTATAAATCTATAAATTTTATATAATTTATTTTAACATTATATTTTATTAAGTGTAATATGTTAAAAAAATTAAAAAATATAGTGTTTGGACTGGGTTATCGATTCCTCTTCACTCTTACACATGATAAACAATTTACAATTTGTTACTATTATAAGGTGCATCAAACACACCTAAGAACACCTACATCAGACTATCATGTTTGTCTATAAAAATGGGTTATCTCTTCAAATTGTCTTCTCAACT